CCCCAAAACCCCAAAACCCCAAAACCCCAAGTGACAAAATTATAGATATTGTAATAATTGAATAAAATTTATATAAATGTGTGTAAATTTAATATATAGAGAAATATATGCTTATTCCTCTATAATTATTACTTATTAATGTGAATTCTAAAATTGGAAAATAGCATTTCAAAGCTTTTTAATGGAGATTTTCATAGTCTCAGTAATAATTTTTGGTTTTGCTTTTTCCCCAACTCTCTTGGAAGTCTTCACTTTAAAAACTTGAGATTTGTGTAATTCATCGAATTCTAACTGTGCTTATTCAAAGTTTAACTCTGAGTCATCTTTATTTATTTTGAAACCATCTTAGACTTCAAATTTACTTGCTTTTTTATGGCGAGCTTTTATTATTGTGTTACCCTTTTACTTTTCAATTTCTCTTGTTTTTCTTGATCTATATGTTTTCTTTGACTTAGGAGCAATGAAACCCCTCTTTGAGGACATGTCATAGTCAATAGAATCATCACCATCATTTGTTCTGTTGCTGTTTTTAATGAGAGACTAGTCCAGACTGGCATCTCTAAATGTTCTAACCATATCTTCATTTTTTAAAGTCTTTTCCTTTTCATCTTCAGAAGTGGTGCTACTAACTCTCAACTCCTTGACTTCTTTGGACTTTTTGAATGCAGTTGAGACTGAAACAGAGCCAAAGAGTGCTTTGGTGAAAGTTTAGTTCTTTTATGATCTAGTATTACTTTTGATACTTGTTCTTCTATCTGTATTAATATTTTTAGTTGAAAATATTCCCCCAGTATTTTTATCCTCATCTTTCTTAATGGCAGATTCTCTCCTCAGTTTTTCAAAGGTAAACTGATCTGAGATTTTCAGAGCAATCTCCATCTTTGGAGTCACAGGCATACTACTTAAGTAAGTATCAACCTTATGAGACTTCCTTCTATTAAACTTATCCTCTAAGTATTTAGCTTCTAGTGCTTTCGAATGCTCCATATTTTTCTCTATTTTAGTCAGAGATAGATGTTCAAGCAGCTACTTCAAATCCTGATCACTTATAAAAAAGCTCTTTGCCATAAGTCTTTATTTAACCTTATCCAATTCTATTGAAAATTTATTAAAAATGGAGAAAAAAAAACACTTACTTTTCAGTATCTCGATTTTATTTTTATCCGACATAACTTGCTGCAGAGCTACCTCCTTATTCTTATAATAGTTATCTGAATTTTAGAAGGCACAAAAAAATACGTAAAGCTTTTCATACTTAAGCAGTAAGTATAGCTTAATCTCGAAAAATACCATATAACACCAGTAGGTAATAAAAACTAGATTGGAGCCAAGTATGAGGATGAAAAACAAAATATATGTTTGAGAATTAAGCTCAACTTAATTTTTAGTAGACTCAGAAGTTTGAGAGACTTCACTTTTGTCAGAAATAAAGAATATGCCACTGTATATTGCTATCAATGAGCTGAGCAGTGATAATGATTCTAATCTATTTAAAGGACTCTAGTAGAAAGGTTCAGTCTTAAGATTTACTGCTGCACTTGACCCAATTACAATTAAACCAAGCATCGCCTAAAAATAGATTAAAAAACATTAATTTACCTGAGTAATAGCTCCTAATTTTGATAGTACGGTTGCAATTATAGCAATTAGTGCCTTTCTATAGAGAACTATAATCTCCCAGTAATAAAACTTAATAGTATATCCCTTATACAAGAAGCCATATCTTTCCTAAATCTCTTTGTTCTCTATTTTTGAAGAATTTCTCCTTAAGATGATAAATGCAATCAAAGGAATTCCTAATCCCCAGAATATGATGCTTGGCATGGCAACATAAATAGACCAGAAGTAGTGAGGACCTTCATAGCAGGTACTTTCTAAAAATGAATGCAATCGTTACTCACCGTCTATATTGTCACATCTGTTAAAGTTATGAAATTAAGATTAAGTTATTTTACTAGAATAATTAAGCCATGGTTTGCATAAAGTTAGAATAGAAAAACAAAAGCACAATCACTATCGTCGATACTAAATTTTGCATGAAGTATTCTCTAGATCTTCTTTTTATCAAGGTATATGTCAACCAAAACATTAAGCTCATCATTATCGCAATGAAAGGAAGCAAAGCCATTATCATTACTTTAATGTAATAAGCATTGAAATAGTCAGACGACTTCTCATAAGAGTCCTCTTTTCTAATATTAAGCATGCAATCTACAGAAAATATTTGCTAAGTGGCTTGAAACACGGGAGTTGAGATCTCAAAGTATTTTTGAATCCAACTTGGCCAAAGAAGCTCAAACGACTAAGTTAGTGCAATAAGCTGAACATGATTAAGCAATAATTTCAAGTAAATCGAAATGGGGTTCAAATTCTCAATTGATGTCCTCATTGTCAGTCTTATGAAAAGTCCAAGCAGGAATACAGTTGTGATTAGAATAAATACTATTCTTAGAATATTCTAGATATTGTCTGGACACTCTGTGCAATTATAGTATCCAGCTTATCCGTAGCCATATTCACAATCAGCACATAGAACTCCTCGATACGATTCTTGGCATTCACCCGTTAATTCTTAATTTTAAATCATCCCAAGACAAGCATCTTCATTGTAGCATTTGATAAAGACACTTGTTTTGTTGTTCTTCCTCCAATAACCCGGCTTTGGGCCTATAATAAATCCTCCATTGCAATATGCTTTTTCATACGGACATTACTCACAGCTTCCAGGTTAAGTCTGTTTTTCAAGTTGAAATGTGCCAGGACCTGGACATAATACACATCTATATTATTTACTTGCTTAAATTTAATTACTTTCCTGAATCTGTGAATTATTCTCCTTCAATACAAGTTCTTAATGTTACATTTAAGATGAGTGAAATCATTGAAGTCTAAATGGAGCTCTTATCTGATTTTATCGTTACATCTATAATTTGATAGTTAAATAGCTAGTTAATTTACTGTAAGATTTCCCAGGCTCGCCAACTAAAGTTAAATCTCTTATAGCTACAATACCGTTATAAGAGAAAAACGATTATGATCCTTCAAAGTAAACTGTGTATTCGCTATCCTATATTTGAGAAACACTTAGCTATACAATTTAACCTTAATGACTACTGACAACTTGATCATAATGATCAATAAATACCAGATATATTGTAGGAATAACTCCTCCACTTTACTGAGAAGGTAATTACAAGTATGATGAAACCTAGCTTGATGCATTTGTTCCTTATTATTGCAGCTTTATTGGGAATGATGCTATGTTTTTCCCATATAAATTAGCAAAATTTGATGTGTAGCTTAAATTTGATATAGTTGGCTATAATAGATTCCACTTGACACATCCTCCTGAGTTCTGAGCATTGTTCAAGTTAAATACAAGATTTGCCATATTATAACTGATACATGTTGTAGAAATTGTACAATAGTGAAAAACAGCTCCTCCAAATCCTGCAAGAGGAAGACTAGATGAATTAATTGCTGCATTTTTTGTGAAATTGCTATCTACGATACTTATTCTTTTTACATCTTCTGCATATATAGCCCCTCCAAGATTAGCTGCGTTATTTGAGAAGTTGCATCTCTGAATCTAGTATATATTATTCAAATTTGCAGATATATCATAAGCTGAGAAGTAAATAGCACCACCATAAGTTGCTCTCATGTTATAGAGTAAGCAATCACTCAATTAAAAATCATAGCAGTTTATACATCTGATACCAGCTCCAGCATAAACATCCAATAAGTTGTCCCAAATATAAAAATTAGTTAAGTACGCCTGTATTTCTTCAAATCTTATTGTGGTTGTATTAGAGTCTCCTCTGAATGTAACATTGTTAAATGTAGTTTTGTATTTAGCACTATTATATGCGCTTATTGAAGCCCCATCTTTATAAGCTTTGTTAGTTTAAAATGTTGCATTCTTCAAAGTAAAGTCTTTATATTGAGAAAGAAAAATAGCGCCTCCAGTTTGTAAGGCTAAATTATTTCTAAAAATAGAGTTGAATATCGTTAAAGTAGATAATCCATTCAGATATAAAGCACCACCATCATTAGCGACTCCATTATCAAAAGTTGCATTATTGATATCAATTATAGCACCAAAACTAATATATATGAAGGAACCAAAATTCAAAGCATAATCAGAAGCCAGTCTCAAGTTAGAGTTCTAAACAAAAGTTGAGTTATATATACTTGCATTTGTATTGACGAAGTATAGGCCATTCGATTGAGTCTAAGCTATATTATTTTGAAAAGTGCTGAATGTTATTAAAACTAATGCATTGGAAAAGCTAATTATATTTTGCTACGCTTTATTGAATCTAAAGATAGAATTCTATATCTTTGAAGGCTGCAAAACAGAGGGTCTTGTTAAGGTTAATACAGCATCTTGCTAACCGGAGTTATTATAAAATCTAGATGCATCTATTAATAGCTAGGATCCAGTTAGAGCACATTATACACCACAAGCTATAGCACTATTTAGCTAATAAGTGTCCTCATAGGCTGAATAGTAAGAATCACTATCCAAGTAAGAGACTCCACCTTCAATAGCTGAATTATTGGTATATGTGTTGTAGCTTGAGTATATTTTTCCACTTAGACTATATATGACTCCACCAATGACTGCAAAATTATTTTGAAAAGTTGATTTGAATTCATACAGAGTTGCTGAATATATACAGTAGATACCGCCCTTTTAACTCTGTTAGAAGTTACTATAAGTGTTATATGAACCTCTGATAATCACATTAGATCCTTAAATGTTAAAAGCTGATTAATATTTATATTTAGTTCCTCTGAATATTTAAGTTACTTGAGGCCATCCACTTTAGATATTACCGTCAAACTTTGAATTTTTAAAAATTAATAGTGAGTTCTTAGATTCTGAATTTATAATAACACCATAATCAGCGTATTAATCAATGAAAGAGCAATTATCAACAACTAATTGCTAAATATCTGAGTTAAAAAAAGCACCTCCTTGTGAAGCATAGCTTGATCTGAAGCTTGAATTAAATATTGTTAAATTTAACTTGCTGTGAGAAGTCATAAACACTCCGCCATTAAATTAAGCTGTATTATTTTGGAATATAGTATTATTAATCTATACAATTAGCTCTAAATTCGATCTCTACAACTGATTTAAATAGAATACTCCTCCAATTGCGGCAGTGTTATTTATAAAAGTCAAATTGTAAATCTGCACGTTTAGATTGTCAGCTAAATAAATTAATCCACTACTTGCATTATTGTTTTAATAAACACAGTCTTTAATAGAAACAGAAGTTGTTGATGAAAAGTAACCTTGAATAAAATAAATAGCACCTATACCTCCATCAATATTTTCATACGTAGAATTGCTATCCTCAAATTATTTTAATTTTGTAATGAGGAAAACTCCATGCTCACCTTTATAACAATTCTTGAATTTATTATTATAAGATTTCAGAGATTTGCCATTATTTACATTGAATATAGCATAGTAATAGCTCTACTGATAGTCATAGTCATCTTAACAATAGATAATTGAGTTCATTATAGCAATTGTTGCAGTTTAAGAAGTAGAGTAGATTAAATTTGTCATTATAGGAGTCATTGAATTAAGATTATTAACTGTAATATTAGCGAAATCAAATGAATCAACTTCTATTATAGTGAATACATTTGACATTGATTGATTTGATTTGTTTGAAGCTCCTAATTAATCCAAACTTAAATTATAGAATTGATACTTGCAAGTAGCACTATTGATATATCCAAATGCGCTTAAAGATCTAGATCTCACTTTATAAAATGTTGAATTTGAAAATATGACAGGCGTAGTTGCTGTGGTGCAAGTAGCACCAGAATATATGATTCCTGAATTCTCAGCATTTGAATATAATAAATAGCACCTATACCTCCATCAATATTTTCATACGTAGAATTGTAATCCTCAAATTATTTATATTTTGTAATGAGGAAAATTCCATGCTCCCCTTTATTACAATTCTTGAATTTATTATTATAAGATTTCAGAGATTTACCATTATTTAGATTGAATATAGCATAGTAATTGTTTTACTGATAGTCATAGTCATCTTAACAATAGATATTTGAGTTCATTATAGTAATTGTTGCAGTTTAGGAAGTAGAGTAGATTAAATTTGTCATTATGGGAGTCATTGAATTAAGATTATTAACTGTAATATTAGCAAAATCAATTGAATCAACTTCTATTATAGTGAACACATTTGAAATTGATTAATTTGATCGGTTTGAAGCTCCTAATTAATCTAAACCTAAATTATAGAATTGATATTTGCAAGTAGCACTATTGATATATCCAAATGCACTTAGAGATCTAGATCTCACTTTATAAAATGTTGAGTTTGTGAATGTGACAGGTGTAGTTGCTGTGGTGCAAGTAGCACCAGAATATATGATTCCTGAATTCTCAGCATAAATATGACTGAAAGAGCAATTGCTTACGTTGATAGTACTATCTGTGGTGTCTTTCAAATAAAATACTGCAGATTAGCCTATGCTATACATGTTATTAAAAGTAGTATTTCTTAGACTCATATTTGACCAAGAGAACTATAAAGCTCCTATTGATGATTGAACATTTTCAATTGTAGTTCGGCCTGGAAGACTTACTAAACTATAAGCCTCAAAACTTATTAAGCTACCTAGAGTTGGATGTGTTGAGTTTATATTTCCAAAGTAATTGTTCCCTTTCAAATAAACAATATTTGTTGGAATTCGTGTAGTATCATAGAAGTACATCAAATTAAATTATCCTTATTATCCTTAGCCCATGAATTTAGAATCTTCAATTATTACAGTATAATTTCCTCCAACAACAATAATAAAGCACCCTTAACAGGAATCTGGTAAATTGAGCAAATATGTAACGTTTTTTATTAGCAACTAACTTTTTAAGGTTTTTTAGCTGCTTTATATAACATTAGTATAGGTAGCAGATTAGCACTTTTCATAGTAAGAATCAGTTATATACAGACTAACAGAAGAGGCTTAAGATATTAGCATACCCCCAATTGATGAAACGAATGTACTAAATGTACAATTAGTAATATTATATTCATAGTTTGCCTGACTAATTATTCCTTCAAGTATATTGTTTACAGCATAGACTAATCCTCCTAAACCAGATACATTATAGAATTGTGATGAGATTATGTTAGCTTTTGCATTAAAAGTTGTGTTGGTTTCACTATTTGCTTAAACAATAAAACCTCCTCTGCTTGATGATATATTATAGACTTTTGAATTTTAAAATTCAATCTAAGAGCAAAGACCACATTAAAGAATTCCACCCTGGACTGCGCCAATATTACTATAAGTCGAACCATTCTCAAAAAAATTACTGAAAAAGATAAAAGACTGTACAAAGTAGATTCCTCCAAAGTTAGTAAATTTAATGCCATTACTTGTGTAATTATTTCTTGAAGACAGTACCAAAAAATTTGCTGTCGTCGATAAAGCATAGATCATTCCATAGTTCTACGGAGTAAATTAGCCTTTCATGCATTGATAACAATCTGAACTTATATTAGAATCTTCAATACTAATTACAACTGTTTGAGTTGTCTTCAGCAAATTAAAATAGAATACATGGCCAGATGATTCTTATAAAACTTTTATTACTTAGGTCTTTGACACATATAACCCTATAGCTTCAGATAAGTAAGCTATTCCACCACTAGAACCAGTAGATTCTGTCGTCAGATACTTGAATTTTACATATTAAAAGATACAACTGTCGATCCAAAAATTGTATGTACTGACAAGTGGATTAATATTCTACACATAAAAGACTCCACCAGTGTTTTCAACAGTATTTATTCTTATGAATGTTGAGTTAAAGATTTTATAGTTAATCATCTTATCCTATCCTAAATGATATATTCTCATTATGCTATTATGTGCATCTGTGAAATTCGAATCTGATATCAAGGTTAGATTGTTATTAGATAATGTTTAAGTAGAATCAGGAGCATGATAAAATCCGATTAACCCACTTCTGAAGTTAGATTCTCTTGGTACTCTTGAAGTAAATAAGTTATTATAGTTTTGCACTGACGCATTATTAATACTCAAATTGGTAGAAGCAAATTAGAATAAGAAATTATTGCAAAATTGGCAAGTCAGGTTTAAAATTTGAAGGTTTTTTAGAATAATAATTGTTGGGATTTAGAAGATGAGACTTAAATCGCTTGATGAGATAAGTTCCGTTCTAAAAGTTTGATTAATAAATTTTTGTCTTACTATCCAGAATCAGATGGAATGATTTACGGATTTAAGGTTGAATCCGAAGACGACAAACTATCTCCTTTTAAAGTAATGTTTGAAATCCTTAGTCCTTCTATATTATATCTTGAGAAGTATGATGAACTAAATTCAATCAAAGATTGACTCGTTTTTATGGATGATTAGTCCAAAGGGGTAACAGCCCCAGATTAATTTATTGCAAGTATCTCAAAATTTTTAAGAGTCATATTCATTAAATGTAACTAAAATGAATGGTTAGTTTTAAATATTATGTAAATTACCTGCCCTCTTGAATTAGAAAAGTATAAGTGCATGGCAAAAGCTCTATTTTTTTATTACGTTAATTTGAACCCACCAGAAATTGTTAAATTGATGAAAATTGGATTGAATCCCGAATCGTATAATATTGTAGACTAAACAAATGTATTGTATATTTAATCTTACCTTAAGAGTATTTAAGCTGACAAGCAGAGTTTATATTGAAGATGAGGTATCAGGCCTAAGAAGATGTGAATAGGCATTTAGCAAATTTGAATGTGAATCCCCATTTCTAATGTATCTTTCATTTATCGACTCCAAATTTTGTAATCCTCTAAAATTGACTATTCCTGCTTAGCCAGAAGCATAATTTTCAGTATAATGATTGTCATAAAATTCTGTTTTACTGGTATTTAAGGAAAGCACACTTTAACCAATAATTATCTAAATCTAATTGCTAAAGTTCATAATTCTATTATACTAGTTAGTTTAATTTTTATAGTTCTCTAAAATAGATTGATCTGATGTAAATGTCTAAAAGGAACTATCATCATTTAATGCAACTGTGGAATTATGATTGACACAGTTAAATTCAAACACTGGTGTATGGTATTGTGGACATCCCATGTTGAGTTTGTAGATATTACTATAGAAAAAGTATCCTCCACATTAAATGCTTGCCTCATTTGAAGGTTCTATATTATTTAATGTTGTATTAGGTCTGGCTCTAGCCCGAACAAACATAGTTGTAGCACCGAAATAACCGCCATTATTTTCAAAAGTATTATTATATATTATAACTGGGTGCAGTCTGTGGCAATTATCCAAACGTATAAGAGCTTTGACAGATGTGTTATTATAGAATCTATTATTAGCTATGATTATATTTTAGGTTACATTTATTAAGGTAATCAATCCTCTATTTTAAATACTTTTTCGGTTTAAAATTATCTAAAAATTTGTCATTTCTTCCTATTCCTTAGCTAAACTCAAAGTCTTAGATACTTCGCAAGTTTTGTATTGAATTGTATTATTATCGAAGATATTATCTTAAATTACAACTTGCCCATCAAAATCATTTAAGGTTAAGACTTGGCCCCAGTATTACATTTTCTACATAGGATTAACTAATGCTGGTTAGCTTATCTACTCTTTCATATAGTTGAAATTTTTAAATGTATTATTGATAAAATTAACCTTGAAACACTAGATACTACCGTTAATGTCTGCTGATGTGCAGGAATAAGGCCTAGATAAAGCCAAAGATTTGTCAGCATGTTGCTATTATTCTAACAAAAGCTTTATATTATTAGTAAGTATTTAATTCTATATGTCAATTGTTGCAAGACTACTTATTAAGTTAAAGTCTTCTGGGCGATAAGTTCCATTTGTATTTCTCAGAATGGAACCACAATTGGAAATCCTATCAAAAGTTGTATTCTCTATATGAACATGTGCACCCCATTAGTTTAATTCAATCATGGAATTGAACTCATAGAGGATATTTTTAATAACAGAATTCTATAATTTGGTAAATTGAAAAAAATTTAATACTTTGATAGTTAAACTCTGTGGACTAATTAATTAAGAATTAGTAGAAATCTAGAATTTAAATATTCCTCCGCCATGACTTATTATGCAATATTCAGTACTAAAAATTATTATTTAGAGAGTGTGAAATTTTACGGCTATATCGTGACTAACTAATTAAAGGCATTTTCTTTACAAGTGATAGAGCCATCTAATATTGTTCCATCACTCATCATATCACAGCATTTTTACCTTTGGTCGAGACAACCATTCAATACTGAAATTTCTGAAAGAATCTATTAAAAATATAATAATACCTGTAAAAGATGAATCCAAAGAATCAATTATTAGGTTTTGGAGTGTCAAGGATTGTGGAATTAAGATTTTAAAGCCAGATCTCATCTTATTTATAATTGTTGAAGACATATCTCTACTTTCATAACATTTTGAATAGTCGATAGTATCTCCATTTGGGACCAAATCACAGAAAAAGGGAGTAATCGAAATATTATAATTCAGACTTATATTATCCTCAAATAGTGCGATGTAACCTTCCTAATTTTTCAAAATGTAATGGGTTCCTTTAAGTAAATAGATATTAATCTACGCTGTGTTTTACTGTGCAGAAATTTCGTGAGCTTTTATCAGTCCATCAGGCAGATTGTCAAAAGGATCATCAAAAGTTCCTAACGCATACGTTGGGCTAGTTTTTGTTCGAACACTTGGTTAGATATAGAAATTCTGAGTTGCTGATTGTGCAAAAGTTGGTTACGAAATACAGCTGCTAAATACATAAAAGATGATTAGTATTTTGCCAAATAAAGCCCCTTTATGAAGGATTTGCATTAACTAGATGACTATCCTTTTCATAAAAAACGATTGCTAAGGCATTCTTTAAGCCATTATCAATTAATAATTGTTAAAAACTAAAATCAAATTTTAGGATCTATATGATTTAATACATTTTTGTGAATTTTAAATTACTGTATTTATTTGGAAATAATACTTATTTTATTCTTATGGGGTTTTGGGGTTTTGGGGTTTTGGGG